ACAACTATCGACATTTACCAAAGTTCACAGAGTTTCTGGAGGCAAGTTGTTTAGGAAGCGGATACCACTCCCGCTTCCAATTATCACTATTCTTTCTTTTCAAAAAGTGGCTCTTTTTTCTGAACACAAGTATCCATGTTTAGCCACAGAAGACCATTTGTGACAGAGGTCTAAGTCTGTTGTCTAATTGACGTGCAAGATTTTTTCTGATGGATTCTTCTCCCAATTCTTGCTGTGTTCGGATTCTGTATCCCAGCTCCTGGCTTTTTGTCCTCAGGGAAGAATTCATGGAGTCGAGCCTTCAGTCTTGTTGTGTGCTGTTGGGTCATGACCCTGTGCTAAGAGGCACCCATTGCATCATCTAGAAAAGAGTGTAACTCTGAGCCCTATTGATGACAGTGAAGGACAGGAGCATCGTAAGGTAACGTAAACATGTTTCCAGACTCCACCTTCGGGTCTGGGCTCGTTGAACAGGAAGGCTGTATGTTTAGACGGCACTTGTGTTGAAGGAGGGTGCTGAAGAGCTGACCAGCTAGGAGAGGTGGCATTGTCAGGGACATGAATCTGGAACCCCATACTTCTTGTGGGTAGGTGCCACCAAGTCGAGTAGGGCTCATAGCAGCCCTGTGAACAGCCGACCTGAGCTCTGCCCTATCTTATGCCATCCTCATCATCCCAGACACACTAAAGCCCGCTGCTGAAGTCACAAGGTCAAACCACCTCACTGGAGGTCTTCCTCTCCTTCACTGACTCTTCCTCTTTCCAAGCATAGCATCTCTTTCCAAGGAATAGCCTCACCTAGCTACACGCCCCAAGTACCAAAGACGGAGCTCCGCCGTCTCTGCCTCCAAGGAGCACTCTGGCTGCACGTCTCCAAAGACGTATTTGTTCATGATTTAAGCAGCCCACGGGATAGTCACTACTCCTCTCCAACGTCACAATTCGAAAGCGTCACTTCTTCTTTTGTTATCCTTATTCCTTGTCTAGCTCTCTGAAGCATAGCAGGTAATTGAGAAGACCAGTGATAACTCCACGACCAGGTAAATCTACCCAGTACCAGGAGTGCCTGTAAGAGGACAAGGATTTTTCTCAAAGATGTCACTGAAGAAGAAGATTCATTTCACAATGTGTGGTAAGGGGCTTCTTACCCTTCTGTGATCTTAACCATGAGATCAACCTGAGGGAAAAGGAGTAAGGTCTCCCCAGGAAAGAAGCCGATTGCCCCCATCTGTAGGGTCTGTGTGTGTCCATGCCCATAGCCACCGAGCTGCTGCTCCTTTGGGAATGGTGAAGGCTTACTCGACAGTGATCTTTGGGTCAGTACCTTGGAGAGTAGAGTCAAATAGTGTAAAACAGAGGAGTTGGGCACTTCTGGACCTGTCCAAGAGTGTGATGAAAGGTATACCTCAGGCTGCCTGCTTTGGATATGCTGACATTGTCTCTTGAAGGTGTATGGTGGGCTAGATGGCCCCAAACACAGAGTTTATCAGGCAGGAGTTTATCAGAGTCCTTGGTTTGGCTTTTCAACATGTTTTATGGTATAGGGATAGGGGTAGGTTTTGGAGGAACAAGGTTTATTGACCTAATACAGCTTTGGGCTTACGCCTTGTTATTTGAAATGTCTTAACTTGGCTTTAATCCTATTTCTTGTGTTTTAACATCTCACCAAATCAGATGTCAGGGATCAGAGTTGATACAATTACAATGACATTGAGGCTCTTTCCCTACAGAATAGCTTGTGTCTGGTTGTTTCCACATCCCAAAAGCAAGAGAGGGGCCAGTCTTTAGAGAAGGACATCATGGTTGGAAGGGTGGAAGGTGAGCACAGAGAAGGAAGATCCTGATTGAGATGGATCAGGGTAACGGGGGTAGGTGTGTTGGAGACAGTGAGATTGGCTCAGGAGAGGGCAGGGTGCAGAGGAATTGGGCATGGTGTTACTATGAGTCATAGTCAACTCGATGGCACACAACAACAACAACAACACGGCTCTTGGACTGTCAGCTGAGAACAAGCCGAAGAGTTCAAGAGTTAGGAGAATGGCAAGTTTTCAAACGCCTGTCTTCTGGTAGGATTAAGTTTACAAACAACTGCCTTAGGCTATAAGTAATTCTGGTTAATCTTACTTTAAGCCAAAGAAAGTCAGACAAGTGGTTTATACGTGTTATAGCATGTTGTTGTTAAGTGCCGTCAAGTCGAGCATGAGTCACATCTTCCTATCTGAAGAACACAGTTCATGGAAGCAGAGATTCTTCGGAGATTTGTGGGTTTGTTATCAATACTTAAATTAGTAAAGGGCTCTAGACTGTTGGAACTTCTTGTTTGTTCATCTGAAATGTGACTAAATCTGTTTGAACAATTAGTGTAGGATTTTTAATCTTTTGGGTTTTGATCAAAAGTTGCCCAAATAAGGCTTATTTTTCCAAAGAGCATTTAAAGACCAAGTATAACTAGTGTCCCTCATGCATAAAGCTGTGTCAACGTGACCGCTAACACAGTCTGCCTCTGTCTGCTGGTCACAGGTGACCCACTATCCCTGGTTCTCATTTGATCGTGGAACATCCTTACGATAAGCACAGTCACATGACTTCTGATGTGTCACTTTCCAGGACCGTGATGGCACCCTCATGGTCCTGGATGGTTTTTTGATTCCTACCAAGCTGGCCAGTGGGGTCTGTGACAATGGAAGGAAGGAGGACATAGATCGTATCTTCTTGGATGATGGAATCCGCTTTTGCACAAATAACAAAGACTGTTGACCCCCTAGACTGCTGGCAGAGCAGGCCCCACCTCCCTGTGGGATTCTACCGGTGGACTTGGTAGGAGTGATGATGAAATTCGATGTTAGACCCCACATGATTGAGTCCAATCACGGAGGTCAAGTGGAAGATGAAGATCAACTTGGGAGTCAGGTCTTCCCACTTCCAAGTTTCTCTAGATTTTGAAATGGATAATTGTAGATGAAACTAGAGCTGAGTCTGCAAAGAAGGAGGGGATCCGACGACTTGATTACACTATGTTGAGAAGGTTGAATTTCTTGTAGAACTACACGCAGGCATCTGTTCTGTTTAAATTAAAGGTCTGTAAGTACCAATCAGGGACCACGCTGACAGCCATTTCTGTAATAAAGTAATAAATCATGGGGGTGGTTAAGGAGGCAAGAAACACCACATTCTTGTTTTGTTCAACCAATTAAGCAATAAGCCATCTGGGTCTTCCCGTTAATTACCATCAAACACAACTTACACAATTGAATTCAGCCTTTTATTTAATTATATTAATTTATCCCAGCAACATCAAACACCCGTGATGCCAATAATAAAATGCATTAAAAAAATAGAGGTCTTGTTTCACGTTTATTCTTTCACTACTAACACCTCTCGCAAGGTTGTCATCGGAGGCTTTCCAGCTCCAGTTTGTCTTAAATAAAGACAGGTCTGAAGCAGGAAAGCGGTGGGTAAACTATCCTCTCCAACGGGTAATGCACCTTCCCTCAGCCTGCGCGGGCCGCCCAGAAGAGAGAACTCTGTGTCACATGGGATGTTCGATATCCGCACTGTCCAGTATAGAAGCCAGTCACATGGCCAGTGAGCAAGGGAAATGTGGCCAGTAGAAACGTGGTGTAGAGCCTGGAATGTTCTCCAATGTTAATGAGTTTATGTGTACACCATCCTATGTGGCTGGTGGCGTCCGTATGGGCCGGCACAGGCCGAGAGTGCGTTCTGAGAAAGTACAAGTCCAGCGTACCATTGACGAAGCAAATGGAGAAAGAGTACACTGTTACTTCTTCATTTGAAGCACACTATCTTAAGAAGGAGTCTAATCATCAATGTTTTTGGGGGAGACGTTTCCAACATGACCGTTTCTCCATCTGGGAGAGAAAAGGACATGAATGGTATCTTCCCAATGGCCACCAACGCCATTCGGCAACTGTTAACCGCTGGACAAAGTAGACCAGGTCATGACACGGAGAACCCTTCTGCTCACCTCAGCATGGACCTCATCCTTGTGGAGGTGTTAGACGCATCAGCCAACATTCCCTTCTCTTCCTACACTTGTAAACCTTCCACCTCAGGGGCACGCAGCAGCGACAGTTACACACAGCAGCAACAGTTAGTACAGCCTCGGGGGTCTGAATACCAGCCTTCCAGACAGTTATACCCAACTCTGTTTCCTCTCAGAAGAAATCTAGCTTAGGCTGGTCATCTCCTCGGAGACGTTTATCACTTCACAAAGCTGGCTGTTAGCGATCCAGTAAAAGCAAGCCTGTCACAAGAAATCAGGAGTTTCTCAGCTGGTAAACGTTGTTAACGGCCACGCTCAGGCTTAGCCGATCCGTCCCACATCAAGAGCTTGGAAGAGAGACCCACTAGAAAGGAACGTGGCCACGGCGGATAAACAAAGGGTGAAGGCCGCGTGGACAGAGGTAGAAGCTTCGAGGACATTCTCGTAACTGATGTGTTCTGAGTCAAAGTGCTCTTCCATCTTTGACCCTCTTCCTCCTCCTCCTCTGGAGTCGTTCTAGCAATCGGCGTGGGACACATGTGATAAGCTCAGGCTGCATCATATGGGAGTCCAGGCCGTTGCTAACTCTTTACACTCAGACTTTCATAGTTGATCACAATGACAGTCCAAGGCCATTTGAAGACAAGAAAGGGGTCCCTTGGGTCTACAGATCCCGGTGAGGTTGCTAGAAATGTCCTGGTTCTTTTCCTACTCAGAGCAAAAGAAATTGTTAAGCCTTCAATGACCAAAAAAAAAAAAAAAAATTGGAATAACCCACTGTTCCATGTAATGGTTATCTTCCAGTGATGAAGACAATGAGATAATAAATCAATTCTTTCCCTTCTCAGAGAGTTGATTGTTGATGAAATAAGATGTAAGATGGAGAGACTTTTCTACTCTTTCCATCACCAGAAACACAAGCACAGGGAGTTTACGTCCTCGTTGGTTCCCGGGGAGTCGTACTGTGATCTGAAGAGTTCTCTTCTGTCCCTCACCTTCATCGCTCACCCACGGCAGAGACTTGGTCATACCGCCACAGCTGGCTGGCTTTCCCATCACACTGGTGCAAATACAAGTGTCTATTGTTCTCCTGGACCACAGCTTCCATGCACCTCCCAGAAAGAATGTGCACAATCATTCCATTCTGGAGGGAAAAAATAGACAAGTGTAGATAGATAGATAGATAGATAGATAGATAGATAGATAGATAGATAGATAGATAGATAGATAGATAGATAT